TATATATAAGTTGGAGCAAGAATTCTCTTTTGTTTTTTTTTTTTTTTTTGCTTTTTCTTTTCTTTTTAAGGAAAGAGAACCGGTTAATTTCGATACCTGAATCGAAACGAGAGAGAGAGAGAGAGAGAGAAGAAGAAGAAGAAGACACGAGCGAGCGCAGGATGCGCTCAGGGCCACGGTCGCGGGACTCCGCACGTAATCCAAAGCGCACTTCCGTTACGCGGCCGAAAATTAACCGTGTCTTAGCCGGCAACTAAACAACTTCAATCAACGAGCGATGGATGAGTAGTGCTTGGTTGACTCTCCTCTCGCCCTGTAACACGCCCACATCCCGTGGATGATCCGCCACGGTCCTGCAGACACCGTGAAGCGTTATAAAAGCCTCGCGGCGGCCTAGCTTCGCCTCATATCGTACACGCGCAAAAGTGTCGACACGGACGACGGTGGACCGGAATTTTCAACGCGTGCGACTCGATTCGACTCGACTCGACACGACACGACACACACGCCATGGCTATGAAACAAGGCTTGCTGTACCTCGGCCTCTACATCGTCTGCTTGCAGACGATCCTCGTGAACGCCGTGGTAAGCTTTTCCAACACGTCGAGGGATAATAACGATACGAACCGGTCGTAATTGGTAACAGTTTTTTCTCTTCCTATTAATTTCTTCTTTTTCTTCCCCGTTTCGATTCGACCACGAATTTATTGGACAGCGGGACGGAGTTCCGTTGCTTTCGCTCGCGAATCGGGTGAATTTCGAACTCGGGTGAAAATCGATCCCGCGATCCAGAGTACGTACGTAGAATCCGTTGAATTATAAATTCTACCGAATTGCTCCGCTAATGGCAGCGATTCCGACGGAGGAAACTGTTGGAACCCGGTTACGGTGTGATATCAGGACGACAGGAAACTTGGTTTCAAATTGCTTTCTCAAATTGGTTTCCTTTATCGATCCCCCCCCCCCACTTGCCTCCCTTTATTATTATTATCGAACGCTCTCAAATCTGATGACGAGCTTCCCCCCTCGACCGATACGTAACGCGATTCGCGCGTAATCGAAGAAAAACGAGAATCGATCATTCGATCTTCGATTCGATTACAGCCGGACTGGGTGCCACCCGAGATATTCGACATGGTGGCGGACGACAAGGCTCGGTGCATGGGCGAGCACGGCACGACGCAAGGTCAGTATTCCAGAAGCCAAACAGAAATTCGCCCAAAATGGCAAATTCCAATTCGCGGCGGGTTGAATTCATTTGCTCGAGCCCGAACTCCTGTTCTATTAGGACCACTCTTACACGCATTGTGTAACAAACACTCGTTCGCCTCGTGGACAATGTGCATAATCTGTCCGAATACTGAACGAAGGGACACATCGAACGTTTCTATTTCTATTTCTAATGGATGGGATGGAAGTACGAATACTAGAAATGTCTCGAGCGTGTAGTGTGAAATTGAAAGTATAGTAGAGATGTAAC